CATACACGGTGGCATTGGAAATGTGATTTCTGATGCACCAGTATGAGGAGATCCAATAAAAGGTGAGTGGTCCTCTTGTGAGCAAACTGAAGTGACCGCCAGGAGAGTGGGTTAGTTTTCTCCAGTGTTGTGAGTGCAACTTGGGAGATGGGTGTGACTCAGTGGGTGAAGTGCTTGTTGTCAAGCATGAGGACTTGAGTTCAAATCCCCCCACACCCAGGCAAAAGCCAAGCATGGTGGCAGGTACATGCCTGTAACTCCAGGACTGGGCAAAGGGGTGGGATGGAGATGGTGGAGACATGTGATTCCCCAGGAATCCAAGCTCTCTTGCTAAACAGCAGGCTCTTGGTTCAGTAAGATGGAGACACTTGAAGTTAACCACTCTCACTTCATGCGCATGCACAGGTGAGCATACCCGCATGTGTATACACATGCACACACATGTATACCCCACACACACACCAACAGATGTAAGTTGGATCCCACTTGCTCTTTTTTATTGCCTTCTCTTGCCATTCTGCTTTTTAATGTAGATATAGAGTTAAGGTCCCCACCACAGACCTGTACCACGGTCTTGGACTTTCTAACTTCCAGAATGTGAGCCAAAGGCATTTCTGTTCAGTATAAATTACCCAGGTTGTAGTAGTCTGTTACACTAGATGAAAACAAAGACACTGGTCCATGACTTCAAGGCAGATCTAAGACTCTTGAGTGAGAAGACATTGGAAGTCCTGATTCTTTTTGTTATTGTTGTTGTTTTTGGAGATAGGGTTTCTCTCTTGGCTGGGATTAAAGGCATGCACTGCCACCACCACTACCACCTGGTTGGAAGTCTTGATTCTAACTCTGCATCCTCTGCAGAATCCCTGGGTGCTCACAGGAAGCATTGGTTCTCATGAGGAAGAATGTCTTTCATTATCTATCTATCTATCTATCTATCTATCTATCTATCTATCATTTATTAATTAATTTTATGGGTGCTGCTGTTTTGGTTGCATGTGTCCACAGAGGTCCAAAGAGGGTGTTAGACCCCTTGGAGCTGGAGTTACAGAAGGTTATGAGCTGCCATGTGGGTGATGGAAACTGAACCCAGGTCCTCTGCAAGAACAACACATGCCCTTAACCACTTAGCAAAATCTCCAGGCCCAGGCAAAACATCTTTTGTTCTTATTTCAAAACCTGAAAGCAGCTTTCTTGTGATAGCCTCCTCCCTGGCACCATGCCAGAACCTGGCCCCGGAAAGGTACAAGCTTTCAGGTAATGCTCGATACCTGTTATCTTCCGCCCAACCCAAAGCTTTTCACAGTTATCTCCAACTGTCTCAAGCATTCCTCACATTTCAATGTCTCCAATGAAGTCCCATGTGCATTGAAGGGACCAGACCCTCACTCAGCCCCTGCTTTAGCAGCCATGGCAGGCTACAGAGAAGACACGTAGCCCTCTGACACAAGGAAATTCCAGATTCTCTGGCCTCCTAGAGCCTAAGGCCAAAACTGAACACAAAGAAACTCCAGCCCTGCCCCCAGCCTCCTAGATACTTGGTTCCTGGGAACTGTTTGGCCACAAAAGAAACTCCAGGGGAAATCAAAAACTTCCTGTAGTCTCCTGGATATAGTTCTGAAAACTTTGGTATCTGTGTACAACAGGCCACCTGTAAGTAACGAGACAAAGCCATAGAAACCACAGAATGTTCCCTCAGCACTGACCAATGAAAATAATTGGTACACAGGTATTTCATGCCAAAATATGACTTTGAGAAATGCTTCTAATTGTTCCCAAATGTCAACCAATCAGAAACCAATGTGTACCTACTGATGTAATCCTGTAATTCTTGTCTTTAAAACCCAGAAGTAGACAGCGAGCTTCACTCCTTCTGGAGGCCCCTGCATCAGCTAGCCAGATGGGGTCCCTGTCATGGCTGGATAAACAATAAAACGTTGCTTTTACAGTTCAATGGGTCTGTCTCCCTGGTGGTCTCTGGGGATCTTTGCAATTTGGGCACAACACGCATGACATTACTGGAAGCCTCATACCAAATCTGTTCCCAAGTTCCTGCCTGGGGTGATGGCTGCTGACACCACTGTGATTACCATGCTTTGTAAAGTGTGGAGTTATCTCTGTCTTTACCCTAGACAGTATTGTTATAGTCTGAACTCACTCTTCAAGGACTCTGAAATGGTTTTTAAAATGAGATCACAAACAATGATTTCTTGCCATTTGAAAGCATCCAAAAGCTTGAGCTTTTAATGGAAAAGCTAAAACCATAAAAAGTCCATTTGGTTAGTTTGTAGTGCTGTGGGTTGAACTCAGGGTCTTGTGCGTGCCAGGCAAGCATCATGCTGTCTCTGTACCACATCCCAATTCCAGAACTTTAAAACTGTTTAAGTGAGGAAGCCTCTGTAATTATGACACAAAATCTGGAAGCCACACAATAATCTGTATGTAAATATAGATTTGATCAGTTTAAATAAAAGGTTTCAATATATATTAAAAAGCTACCATAGCCAGGCAGTGGTGGCGCATGCCTTTAATCCCAGCACTCGGGAGGCAGAAGTAGGCAGATGGATCTCTGTGAGTTTGAGTAGAGCCTGGTTTACAGAGTGAGTGCCAGGACAGGCTCCAAAACTACACAGAGAAACCCTGTCTCAAAAAGCAAGCAACACTTTTAATCCAATCCCAGTACTCGGGAGGCAGAGGCAGGTGGATCTCTGTGAGTTTGAGGCCAGCCTGGTTTACAGAGAGAGTTCTAGGACAGCCTCCAAAACAATACAGAGAAACCCTGTCTCGAAAAACAAAAAAACAAACAAACAAAAAAACCGAAAAACAGCCGGGCGTTGGTGGCGCACGCCTTTAATCCCAGCACTCGGGAGGCAGAGGCAGGCGGATCTCTGTGAGTTCGAGGCCAGCCTGGTCTACAGAGCGAGTTCCAGGACAGCCTCCAAAGCCACAGAGAAACCCTGTCTCGAAAAACCAAAAAAAAAAAAAAAAAAAAAAAACCGAAAAACAAAAACAAGCAACAACAACAACAAAGAACAAAGTCAAAAGGGAGTGGTGAAGTAAATTATCTAGTCACAATGTGCTAATCTCCTTAATAAACAAAGATCCTAGCCGGGCAGTGGTGGTGCATGCCCTTAATCCCAGCACTCGGGAGGCAGAGGCAGGTGGATCTCTGTGAGTTCAAGGCCAGCCTAGTAGTCTTCAAAGAGAGTTCCAGAATTGTCTCCAAAACCTAAACAAAGCAAAACAAAAAAGCCAGGCAGTGGTGGTACATGCCTTTAATCCCAGCACTCAGGAGGCAGAGGCAGGTGGATCTCTGTTCAAGACCAGCCTGGTCTACAAGAGCTAGTTCTAGGACAGCCTCTAAAGCCACAGAGAAACCCTGTCTCAAAAAAACCCAAATAAATAAATAGATGAAAATAAAAAAAATCCTAAAATATGGGAAATGACTAGTGGTCATGAAAAATGATAAATATTAACAGATGTTCCACGCAGATACAAAGATAAATCATCAGTCCCATTTTACCATCTGCCAGAATGGCAAACATCAAACCATGGGCAGTCACTGCAGTTACGGTCAGAGTAAAGAAACTGGCAATGTCCACTCCAATTTAACATGCTAACGTCCTTGACCAGACAGTGTCAGGATGGCTCACACATATGGGCATACAAGTGGAAGGAAAGCCTGAGTTCTGTCATCTAGATGTGGGAGTGAGATCCCCTGCCTACTGCATGCAGCCACTCAAATAGGAGCAGAGCGGGGTAGGGGACACAGCAGGTGTCTGGGGTGTGTCAGGTGGACCCAGGGAGGCACACAGATGTACAGGTCAGAGTGACACAGCTATTGAAAAACAAAACAATAAAGTCCTCTTTATTATCACAAAGGATGCCAAGAGTGGAGTGACTTGCATATTTTGCCAGGTCTAAGAATATTCCAGTCTATTAGTGTTCTTTTGGGAGGTATCCAGCTGTTTACTTTTTCATGAGTGAGATCACTAACCTTTACCTGCAATGAGTCTACTTCCGGATTTCTGTCCTGCGGATTTGATGCTTCGCCTCCTGAGTCTTTAAATATTCAGGCCATTAGCTATAAAGAAAGGGGCAGTGGGGTTTCTGCCAAGGAATAGGTGGTGCAGTGTGGGAAAGGACAGGATTTTCCATGTCCTCCTCAGCAAAATCCCCCGGCTCTGGTCCCTGATGACTCTTTTACCTAGGAAGACTTCTTCCTGCTTTCTTTTTTGGACATGTTATACACTAGTCACAAAGCCCCTCCAAGGTTTCATTTTTAAGGAGACCACCAGGCTTACTTTGCTCTGGTTCTGGGGTCTCCACTTGGAATTGGAATCCCACTGACCATCCTTTTCCCCCGGGGAATGTCAGGTTTTACCCAGGCTTCCCTCCTACCTGTCACCTGTGAAGCTACTACTTCTGTAGTGAGAAGTCACCCAAGATGTCGGCTTCGACCCTGCAAGGACAGCTCCACTGTACAGGGACCCAGCTTCTTCAGGGTCGTGTGACTACCTGAGTAGCATGGACAAGGTATCAGAGAAGGATGAGCTGGCTGCTTGGAGCCTTCATGCCCCCTTTTCCTACAGAACTCCTTTCCTCTGCACTGGCCGGTCCAAGTGGCATTCTTGGTGTAACGAGGAGAGGGCTACGAGGTGTTCTCAGGGCCAGAACCACTATAGGCTTGGGAGCTGTGAGCATTTGGGGTATCAGTGGACCCTGGCATGTGACCCCTTTTGGACTACGCCAGAATCAAACTCGATCTTTGTTGAGCAGAGTGATCTACAGGTGACGTACCCAGAACTGCCCCTAGCCAGACTGTGAGCCATATCTCAGGAGGGGGAGGAGCTCAACAGAGAGCTGGGATACAGCACTCCTGGACCCTGAAACAGTCCAGGCCTCTGGGTGGCCTGCTGCTGCTGCTGGTTACTGCTACCCCGTTGTCCAGTTGGACAGGTTTTAAATGCTGGCTGCTCACTCAGGACACAAAGGAGAGAAACCCTTGTAAACCTTTATTCAGGGTGGAACAACATGACTCAGCTTATTCTATAGACTGTACATTCACTGAGGGGACCACAGGGAGCCAGCTGCAGCCCAGTGAGGAGGGTGGGGTGGGGGCAATACGGTTCCAGAGCACCCCACTGGTGTAAGTGGCTCATAGCAGCAATACATTCACTGGGACATTGCTGTGTCCAGAAAGGGGGCTCAGTTTTAACACAAAGCACTCCCAGTTCACAGGGTAGTGCTTGAGTACTCGGCCTTGAACATTCGTATAGCTCTGCTCATAGCCATATGCTCTGCAAAGCTGGAACACTGGGCCTGATGCGAGGCATTGTCCCACCTTCTTCCTACTCAGTGTCCCCACATCAGTTAATGCGGTACCATCCAGAGATGGAAGAGCAGACCTCCAGGTAATGCCGTGACTATCCTGAGGAAGAGATGTGTGCACTGAAGATATTGCACTGTGTCTGGGCCAGCCTACTCCACCTCCCACAACTCAGGGAAGGCAGACAGAGGCCTGGCTCATGAGGGAACAGGGGCTGGGAGACAAAACAAGACCCACACAGAAACACATAAAAGCAGCCACAACCCTGCAGGTGGACGGGCTAAGAACAGGGCTGCATCTCAGTCTGTGCCCTGGGCCCCGCCTGGATCCCTGCTCACTTGGAGGCAAGGCAGGGAGACGGCCTCAGGCCAGGAAGCATTCCCACCCTGGTCCTTCCCCAGCTAGTGAGGTGTAGTGGGGCTAGTTACACGGGCCACGTCCCAGGCAAATCGGCAGGAGATGACATTGCCAGCACAGAGGAGGACCTCTGCCAGGTGCAGGCTCCTCAAGGATGGTGTCACTTCCAGGACAGAGTTGGGAGCCTTGGAGTTCTGGCTAGGGTGGAGACTAGGGCTTGGCTGCTACAAGGCAGGAGTCTTCTGTCTCTTCAGGGAGTCGATGTAATGGAAAATAGCCCCCAGAGCCCAGCTGGTTTCAACGTTGTCGATTTTCCGAGCCAGCTGGAAAAGACAAAGGAAAGGAGAAGAGAGCGTCATAGGCCTGAGATGGAAGACTGGGTGGCATCTGTGGAGGAAGGCAGTGGCTCAGGAGGCTACACAGTTTCATGCTGTTTCTTAAAAGCAAGGATGGGAGCAGGTGATAAAAATCCAAACAGTAAGGCGAACAGTTCCCAGAACCCCATCCTACAAATGGAACGTAGAACCCAAGATGCAATGCTTACCTTCAACACTTTGTCCCTGGGAAAACCAAACTCATGGAGCAGCAGGCTGATGTAGGTGAGGTCCATGCAGGCAAAGGGGTTGCTGGGTGGCTGTGTCTCCAGGGTGCGGCACACTGGAAGAGATGCCAATTCCTAATCATGTTCCAGACCAGTGGTTCTTAACCTTCCTAATGCTGTGACACTTTAATACCCTTTAATCTCATGCTGTGGTGACCCCAACCATAACATTATTATTATTTTATTTATTTATTTATTTTTGGTTTTTCGAGACAGGGTTTCTCTGTATTGATTTGGAGGCTGTCCTGGAACTAGCTTTGCAGACCATGCTGGCCTCGAACGCACAGAGATCCGCCTGCCTCTGCCTCCCGAGTGCTGGGATTAAAGGCGTGCGCCACCAACGCCCGGCCATAACATTATTTTCATTGCTACTTCATAACTGTAATTTTGCTACTTTGTTATTGTTGTTGTTTCCAGACACGGTTTCTTTGTGTAGCTTTGGAGCCTGTCCTGGAACTTGGCTTAGAGCTCACAGAGATCCACTTGCTTCTGTCTCCCAAGTGCTAGGATTAAAGGCATGTGCCAACACTGCCCGGCTAATTTTGCTATTGTGGATTGTAATTAAACATTTTTGGAGATAGTGGTTTGTAAAAGGGGTCAAGACCCATGGGTTGAGAACCATTGTTTTAAACACCCTGGGGTGGGGAGGAGGCAACCCTGACCCCACCTGCTGTGGTACCCATCTTGCTCTTCACTTCTGATTCACTGTCAAACTGCAGTGTCATCCTACTGGCAGGCCAAGAGGCCAGTCTCAACCTCCACGAGGCCTGGATGCCACGCCCAAGAGAGACTTGAATGTCTTAACTTGGGGTAACAGTAGAACCCCACTTCCCTCAGCTACATCTCTGTATCTGAGAACCTTGACACTTCCTAGATGTCAACATATTCTAATATCCAGCCTTTTTTTTTTTAAGATTTTATTTTTATTTATTATGTATACAACACTCTGCTTCCATGTATGTCTGCAGGCCAGAAGGGGGCACCAGATCTCATTACAAATGGTTGTGAGCCACCATGTGGTTACTAGGGATTGAACTCAGGACCTCTGGAAGAGCAACCAGTGCTCTTAACCTCTGAGCCATCTCTCCAGACCGAATCCAGCCTTTCTAAGGCCTGATAATGACACTAAGGCTGACTTCAAATCTATTCTGGTGTGTGTGTGTGTGTGTGTGTGTGTGTGTGTGTGTGTGTGTGTGTGTATGTGTGTTGTGTCCCATAGGCACAGAGGACAGAGGAAAACATACAGTATCCTGCTATATCACACTCTACTTTAATCTCTTGAGACAAGGTCCCTTATTTGAACCTGGAGTTCAGCAAGCCTCCATGATTCTTCTGTCTTCGCCCCCACAGTCTGGGCTTTTTTTTTTTTTTTTCCATTTTATGTGAATTCTGGGGATTTGAATTCAGATCCTCATGCTTGTGCAGAAACACTCAAACCATTTTTACAGCTCCCAGAATCTATTCTTGGAAGAGGGGAAAATCCATCTAGATACCAATGTCCAGGGAAAAGCCAAGAAGTGACAGAAAAGCACATACGCCGTGTTTTTAGCATGGGAGGGTAGGAGGGCGAGAAGAAGGAAACTTCCCATGGAGAAATACACTAAGCTTAATTGCTCTAAATTGCAAACTGGCAGCAGCAACCAGAAGAGCTGAATGTGGACACGACATTCAGTCCTGAGCGCCAGAGTGCTGTGACCCAGAATGGTTGCACAAAGGGCATGGGAGGAGAAGAAAGACAACTCAGGGAGACACTCAGGATGCTGTCCCAGCAGGCACTACTGTCCTGGAACCCAACTTCCTCAGGGTCATTTGACCATCATGAAGTAGCTGTGACCATCCCAGGGAAGAGTCTTTGGTAGCAAGGGAAAGTGCCAGAGATTTGAGATGAGGGAACTGGAGCCTCAGAGCCCTGTGGCAGCACCGAACTGTGGCCTTTCACATCTGGGGATGCCCTCCACCGGGAGGTTGGATCTGAGGTTTGGCCCTTGGTGATGATAGTACACTTTGAACTCTGCCCTTACACACCTCTCAGCACCAGTTAACAGACAGAGTAAGGTACTAAACCCAGCAGTGCTGGGCCTTGTGCCATCACACCTGGGGTGTCTGCTCCCATGTCCCACCCTGACAAGTGCAGCACCACTCACCATACTTGGCTGCTGTCTCAAAGTCTCCGACCACAAGGCTACCTCCTTTCTCTGCATCTGTCAGGTAAGATAGACGCTGTCAGACCCTTCACTGGCTGACTGCTTACCCTGCCCTGGGTCCTTGGGTCAAAGCGAGCCCCTCACTGCAGGTCTTCCTCAGAAAGACAGCATGTGGCTACCCATCCCAAAGAGGCTCCCGAGCTGATGCTGCATGGCAAGGCCAGCGGTCAAGCACAGGGAGTGAGTGCAGCGCAAGGCCCACTTTCTAGCGGGATCTGTATCCACAGCAGACAATTGCCATTTTACTAACTGCCTCAAAGGAACTACTCACCTATGAAAGGGGCTTATGACTTCCTGACTCCTACCACATTGCCCAACTCCTTTTACACCTCTCACTTCACCCAGACCAACAAAGTCACCACTGGCTGGCATCGGCCCCCTGCCCAGACCGCCCTGGCCCTTACCTATGAGGCCAAAGCTCGCCGCAAGGTCATAGTAGTAGGAGAAAGCATAGAAGTCCACGTGCTGCGCCTCTTCCGCCCTGTGTACTTTATTTCTGAGGACTTCTGACACCCTGCTGGCACACAGCTCATAGAGGCCCACTGCAGAAGGCAAGAGAAAGCCCACAGCCAAAGTTAGCAAGCCTGAGGCACACAGGTCACACAGCTCCCATCCATGTGACACCTGACAGTTCAACCAGGCTGACCACACACCAAAGGCAGATATGCCGCATGTCTTGTGTCCAGCCTGGGAACAATAGCCCAGTTTTTCTCCTAGAAGAAATTCAAAGGACCCAGAATAACAAGACCAGGGTGAGGGCCAGTGACAGGGTGGTGTGTCCTGGGCTGTTGGCAGGAAGCAGCCTTCATTTCTCTCTGCACAGAACTGGCCAGAGCAGTTTCTGGGCTAGGAGCCTAAATGTGGCCATTTGTCTCAGGCCCCAAGGCAGCCAGTTCCCTTCTCACTGGAGCTGTTAGGAAACTGGGTTATTTGGATAGAAGTGCTTGGTGACAGACAAGGAGACTTTGTGCAGAGATCCTGAGGAGGGAGGTAGGCAGAGGAGCTCTCGACAAAAGCCTTCGCAGTCCTGCCACAGTTCTTAGTTGCCTACGCTCTAGGGGAAGGTACAGACTTGTCTGTGTTGGTGCCTGCTTTTCAGAAGTATCTGGAAAAGGAAAAGGGAAGCAGGCTGCCTTTGACCCTCACGATCCTGAACAGCAATGCCACCTACCTGCCTTCTGTCCTGAAATTCTATAGGTGACCTCAGCATGCTCCCACTCTCCTTTGAACCGGGGAGACAGGCAGGGGCTGACCAGTTCCTTGTCATTCTCAGCTGAAATAGAGAGATGGCCACGAAGGTAAGAAGGAAACAGCGCTGTGTCCATCAGACAGAGCTTGGACAACTGGGTGGGGTCCAACAGAGAATGCCACAGGTTGTAATAAGGTGTGGGGGAGGGGGAACAATGGGACCTGTCTCCCAGGAGAGTCCAGGTCAGCTGGAGAAAATCCCTGTTGTCACAGGGTGGCAGCCAATCCCACCTGTCCAGAGACATGACTGTGGCCTGGCAAAATGTTCATGTCCCCTGGGCATCTGGGGTTCCAGACACTGGGCCAAGTGCTGTTTTTGTCCGTTATCACAATGAACTTATTTGGAGGAGACTGTCACAAACCAATTTTACAGATGGCCAAGGCTGGCAGTAACTGACAGGTTGGTAGGAAGGCGAGGACAGGTGTTCCCATGCCACAGAGTGAAGCTTTGCTCCTCATCATGAACTAGGCCCAGACGCTGTGCTGAGGTTCATGTCCAGCCTTTAGCACTTTAAGATGGGGTGAAATCTTTGGTAGGTGGAGCTAGGGGAGGAACTTAGGTCACCAGGGCATTGTTTTGAAGAAACGCTGGAGCCTGACTGTTTTCCTCCTTTGCCTCCTGCTGCCAGCAGGTGAACCCTCTGCCACATGTTCCCACCATAGTGTCCTGCTTCACCACAGGCCCAAAGGCAACACATTAAGTGATCAACAACTTAAGCCTCCAAAACCATAAGACAAACTTTTCTTTCTTAGAGCCATTTGTCCCAGTTACTGTCAGTGACAGAGAACTGACACATGAGGTGATTCTAAGTGCAGGTGACACAGTTCAGAAATTATTTCCCTACTAACTCTCCTTTTTAAATTAAAAATCCCTTTTTAAAAATTTTATGTACATGGGTGTTTTGCTTGCAGTATCTGTGGGGGCTAGAGAGGGCGTCAGATCCCCAGGGTCTGGAGTTAAAGACAGTTGTGGGTGCTGGGAATCAAATCTGGTTCCTTCAGAAAGGCAAACAGAGCTCTTAACCACAGAGCCATCTCTATAGTAATCTCCTAGTATCTCTCTCTCTCTTTCTGTTTTTTGAGACAGGGTTTCTCTGTGTAGTTTTGGAACCTATCCTGTCACTTTCTCTGTAGACCAGGCTGGCCTCGAACTCACAGAGATCACAGAAGAGAGGCACCAAGAGTGGGGACAGAGTCTAGAGCAAGTGTTCTACTCACCAGGCTTCCCCTCCATACCACCCAGAATAGCCAGTCGTGCCGACATCAGTCCTAGCCCCAGGTAGCTGTGGAGACAAATCCCGGTGAGGCTGGGCCACTCATGCACCTGCCTGGGCTCAGTGGGAGTAGGTAAGGTGTTCCTGCTTCTTCTCTGAGCCTTATGCTAAGGCTGAAACATTAGGTAATTGAACTGAGAGCCTGCCACGAGCTCTTACAGACGCTGTGCACATGGCAGCGAAGGAGACAGAGCCCGTCTGTTTTTATGGGGTTCTGCAAGTGCCATGTGGCCAAGAGGCAACCAACTCCTCACCTTAGTCTTTTCCAAGAATAGAAGAATTAACTTTTACAGGGAATTTAAAAATGATGCATACAGGAGGAGAAGCAGGGAGGCAGGACAGGGCCCAGGCAGTCTATTGGCACAAGGGAGTCTGGGATCTGGCATCTACATGGGGAAAGGGTCCCACCAGAAGGCAGCAGTGGGAGGTGCCCCAGGAGTGGGCAAACCCACCTGTAGGAATACAGTTTGTACGTCCTGTTAAACATCTGCAGCGCTGTCAGGTGGCCAGGCGGGGAGGCCTGCAGGGTACCCTGGGGAGGAACACGAAGTCACTGTTGCCCCCTGTCTTTCCAGAAGACCGTGCCCTCCTCCCTGAATCGTCTGGATGAACAGGGACATCTAATGAGCTTTCCATTGAGTCTTTGGCTATGAAACAATGAGGAACAAGAAGTAAAAAAACAAACCAACAGAGCGATGGTTTGTCCTTCTAGAAGCTTTCTTTGCATATTAGGGATCAAACCAGGGCTTTCAGGTACTTGGCCAGTGAGCAACATCCTCAGCATTTATTACTATCATTATTAATTAATTTATTATTGTTATTTTGAGACCAGGTCCTGCTACCTTTGAACTCCTAATCCTCCAACCTCAGCCTCCACAGTGCTGGGGTCACAGATGGGCAGCACTGGACCAGCTGCATCTTGCACCTTCTGACACACATAGTTCAATCAGACCAGCTAAGCATCTTTCTCTAATAACCTGACTAGGACCACAGCTTCAGTCACTAGGTGTGTACAGGTCATTTATTCACGCTCTATAACACAGGTGTTTCCTGTGATTGTTAATAAAGTGTGGGAGACAAGAAAGGTATTTAAAATAGCGGATGCCACTAAACACTGGTGTTTTCATCTCTTTAGAACATTTACCTTGAAGGGGGCTGACCCCCTGCCCTCAATCTATTAGCCATACTGTTCACTCTTGTTCCTGGAACTTCATGGGGGATAAAGTGTCCAGCCTCTAGCCCAAAGCTTCCTCGTCATCATTTGGTTTCACCTCACTGAAGAGCAGGTTTCTATTTTGGTTTTTAGTCTGTAGAGTTAAAATCTAAGACGTTGGAGCACCTTCCAGTGGCCAAGGGGCCTTCTCTGAGGGGCCTCCTCTGGGTGGCTGCAGCTCCCTGACTGATGCACACACCTGGTGAGGCAGACAGGGCAGGTTACCTCGACACGGGGGAGGAAGGTGATCTGAGTGGATCCTCCGCCCAAATCCAGCATGCCCACGCTGCTGCTTCCGGGGGTTTTCAGACTGCCTAGATCACAGGGAATAAAGACAGTGCTGCCGGGTTAGGAAGGATATGAGCATATCAGAAGATCAAAGAGAGGTAAGAAGCTGCCCCTGGTGGTGGTGGCGGGAGGGGGGAAAGGCAGGGAGGCTGCAGAAGCTCCTGTTAACTACTTGAAACATTTTAACTTAAAAGTCTCCAAGAGCCATGGCTCTGCCAGCTGTGGCTTTGATGTGGCTGGCAGAATGGCTCTGAACATTGAGAGAAATGCTCACACTGGCCTATCATCTGGCAGGGCCAGCCTCACCTCCCAGGGAACACCGACTTCTTTGCTGTTCTGACAGGGATCCTCCCTACAGGGCATCCTCTTTGACTAGCCCCATCTCAGGCTGTTCTCCCAAAGCATTTGAGCTAGTGATCCCCAACTTTTCGACCAGTGTCTTTCTGCCCGCAAATAGTGAGACTTTCCCGGAAAACACTTCCTTCTTTCAACATAGACACACTACCCTTTTCCAGTACAGGGCCGCACTGAAAACTATCTGAAAGTGTCTCTTGACAACCCGTTTCCAAGGCAGACGGCTTTGGCAAGGGTGACCAGCACAGTCACATCATATCCCGTATCTGAAGACCTGACTAGGTTTGATTCACTGCTTTTCTCAGACACAAACTACAGGTCAAAGTCCCAGTGGATGCTGGGTGGGGCTGTACTGAGAAAGGGAAGGGCAGTGAGGGGTGACGAGCACACAGGGGCTCACATCGCCTAACCTGTCTGGACCCCAACCTGCCTCCACGCCAGCAACACTGAATCTGGCTGTTATGGCAATGGGGTCTCAGCAGGTGCTTCAGGAAGCCTGGCAGGCACTCCTTTCCTAGGGATGGGAGCCATTAGCCTTTCCCATCCAGCAGACACGCACCTGTCAGGAAGTTGACAGTGATCCATGCTGAAACACCTACAAGAGAACAGCACAGACATTTCAATTCCTTTAAAAAATTTAGTGTATGGGTGTGCTGCTTGCATGTATGTCTGTGGACTTCATGTGTGTCTGGTGCCCATGGAGGTCAGAAGAGGGGTTGGAGTCCCTGGAACTAGAGTTACGGATGGCTGTGAGAAACCATGTGGATGCTGGGAACTGAGTTTGGTCTTCTGTAAGAGTAGTAAGTGATCCTAACAGCTGAGCCGTCTCTCTAGACCCCATTTTAACTCTCGACACACAGGACTGCTATCTACTTCGCTAACCTATTCCCAGATTTCAGGGGTGTGTGGGCACTGCTTGCATTCCTAGCCTTGAGAGGGAGCAGTGTTCACTCAAGAACCCAGGGGCTTCGGCACACACTGAAAACGTAGAACACATTACCAAATGCTGGTCAGTCTCCTCCAGGACTTTGTCACCAGCTTCCATTTTTGAAGAAGGCAGGCAGAGAATCCAATGTTTCCTCTGCCCTCCAGACAAGCTCACTCTTAAGGTCATATTTAAAGCCACTGGCCTGGGAGGAACCTCACGTATCGGCTACAGAATGAGCTACATAACCACAATGTCCCCAGCATGGCAGCAAGTGGCATTCTCTAAATGCCTTAAAACCCAAAGGATGATGTTTTCAGAGGCTGCATCCGCACCAGGCTTGGAGCTGGTCAAGGTAAGAACTTGTCTCTAACAAATGGAACAGAACCATGACAGTCTAGCTACAGTGCCCTCAGGCCTGGAGTCCATGCAGTGGCGGCAGCACCAAGTCGTTTGTCTGACTGGGACATGCACTGGAGAGATACTCATTTGTCCACTCTACCTTCATCTGTGCCGTTCATGATGGAGACACAGTCGTCCCCTACAAGGAAAGGTGATGCCTTGAATACCTCCTTCACCTAAATGCAAAGAGAAACATTTCTTAGCTTGGCATGAAGCTGTACACTTGTACAGAACTTGAGAGGTGGAGGCCAGAGATCTGGAGATTGAGGTCAGTTTGGTCCACACAGGGAGTGTCTCACCCTCCACCCCAGCCAGGGCAGGGGGATGTGCTCATTCTTCAGAAGCAAGATCAGAGTTAGGAAGGGCACTGTGTGCCCAGCTGGCTGTGACAGAACACTGAGGGCTCTGTGGTATGCTGAGAAGCAAAGATGAAACTGTTTCAAGCTTCTTCAATCTTCTGTAGGGGTGGCCTTGGCTGATATCCCTAGGAGAGCTAAGAGACAGGCTACTCCAGGTATCTCTTCTTGAGCTGCTGCGGACAGGAGAGTTCTGAGAGCAAAGGTGGCCTAGGCAGAATTGACGTGCCCTGAGCCTGTGGGGTCCCCAGACATTCCCTGGCTTTGGGTTCAGAGATGAAGGGCAAGAAGCCCTATGAGTCAGGGTTTAAACCTGGGAAACACTGATGTGGCCTGTGTATAGGTGGGGACACGTATCCAGGGACATGAGTCTGGCAGAGGGAGGTGAAGGTGTGAACAACTGGGTACGTTTCTTTCTCCATTTTCTAAGGAGTCTCAGGACATAGAAACTTCAGTGCCCCTAGCCACCTCTACCTCCCTTATGTCCTAAGAGGATCTACTGTGCTACCATCTTTCAGGTAAACAGTGTAAGAACAGTCTAGAAGTTGAGGGAGACTGTATCTTCCCAAACTTGGTGGATGGAAAGGAAATTAGAAATGCATTCTGGGGTCGAGTATGTATAGAGTACAAAATGGTTGTCTGGGGTACCATGTCCCCCGGAAGCACTGGGGCTGGGCAAGAGGCTGAGGGTCTCTTGGGCAGTCACAGCTGAGCTTGGGCTAAGATGCCAGCTCAGCTCACACACCTGTGGGTGCCCTCTGGAGCACAACACAATCTTAGGACACAGTTGTGTTCTTAAATGTCACATAGACAATTCCTAACTGTGATACTGTGAACATTTCAAAGCTTTTCTCTTGAGGACACTTCTATGTCCTGCCTGCTTGACACTAGCTGCAAGGATAGTGGCTATTTTGTTTTGAGACATTGTCTCACTCTGTAGCTCAGACTGGCCTCTGGTTTGAAACTGTCTTGCTTGGTCACCCAGGTGCTGGAGTGACAGGCATGCCCAGCATGTTAGTGTTTTTTTTTTTAGTGATTCTTAGCCACCCTCCAGTGGGGAAAATGGTTAAGTTTACCTTTTGCAGCAACTTCTGAGCCTTTTCTCCTGGCAGCAGGCGCAAACCAGCTGTGGCCTTCAGGACCAGAGGAGTGGCCTTCCAGAAGTCATATGGAATGTGTTGCTTAGCAACATTCAGAAGCTCCTGGATCCCCTGAGCACTCTGGATATAGTGAAAGCAAAGCAGGGTTGTTATTCTACACTACCCAGTTACCACTACCCTTTAAAATGTATATTAAACATACTATCTCATTTAAAAGTTAAGTTTGGGGGATGCATGCACATGCACGAGCATTTCATATGCAGAAATAGGAAGATAACTTCCATGAATCAGTTCTTACCGTCTACCTCGTGTGGGCTGGGTCTCTCTTGCTCCTGCTGCTGCAGACTTACTACAGACTAGCTGACTCACCACACTGAGGTTTTTGTTGTGGGCTCTGGGACTCAAACTCAGGTCAGCAGGCATCTGAAGCTAGCGCTTTTGCCGACAACCCACCTCCTGGCCCCTTTCTCTAACTGTCAAAACCGGCAGGAGCACTGCATCAAGCAGCACTGGCCATTTGTTAGAACACCATGGGTCAGAGCCGCGGACTAGCACAGGGTCTGGGGAATGTTGAAATGCCCTAGCATGCAGCTCCAAGGTGGGCACTTGCCTAACACACAAGGAGAGGCGCTGGGTATCGTACCCAGAGTTTAAAAGAAGAAACAAACAAACAAACCAATGACAGGGAAGTCAAACCCTCTCAGCAAGCAGAATCTGCTTTAGAAGAAACTCATGAGTCCTTGGTTCACATCTGCTAGTGCATTAAAACATTAAGACATCAGAAATCTAAATGCTACACACTTAGAGAAATCCTATTTCACCTCAATGAAATCTGTTTTATATTTATTTGGTACATAAATTTACCACTGAGCTCTGCTAGCCCTAGCACAATAGTTTTAACATTAATATTTGTTTTTAGTAAATGTTATGCTTTCAAGCAGAGGAACTGCAATGCAACATTTAAATTACAAAGTCATTATGGGGAGTCTTAGTTCAATATCAGAGCATTGGTCTAGAGTTGGAAAGCCCGGAGCTGCATCCCTAGATCCCTGCATCACAGGGTACTTTGCAAAACTTATATTACTAATACAAATATTTTAAAGTCCAAATACAACATTTTTCCTCATTTTATTGTTGTATGAGTGTTTTGCCTGCCTGCAGTCTGTGCACATGTACACAGTGCCTACAGAGGCCAGAAGGTAGCACTGGATTCCCTGGGACTGGAATTACAGGTGGTAGTGAGCTGCTACGTAGGTGCTGGAGACTGAACCCAGGTCCTCTGGAAGAGCAGCCAGTGCTCTTAACCACTGAGCCATTTCTGCAGCCCCCCAATAACGCTTACATGTGTGGGTGTGAGCTTCTGAACTGTGTATGGGCCAGGGCCTCATGGTGTCAGCACACTGGTCGGTGGGACCCTCACTCCTTCCTACCTCTCTATCTTCCACAGGCAGTACCAGCACCAGGGCACCTTTCTCTCAGAAGATGGCCAACTGATCTAGTTCAGAAGGGAAGTCAGTTAGAGGACATGGAAGGACAAACAGACACAAGACGGTGGTTACCTTTTCAACATCATCAGCATAAGCAGAAAGCCCAGGCTTCAGTGCCTTGAAGGTCTCATGGGTCAAGGTGGGAGTTTCTAAAGGGAGACATTTTTAAAAGATGTAATTATGAGTATATACAAGGAATTATATATATACAGAGGAGACCAGCTGAGGTTAAGAGCAGAAGCTTGACCATGGAGGCCAATTAAGAGGGATTATTTTTGTTTAAATTCTGTGATCTAGATCAACTGAGTAAAGGACCTAAAGTTTGTTTTTCTTTCTTAAATATATATATGTGTGTGTGTGTGTGTGTGTGTGTGTGTGTGTGTGTGTATGTATATATACACACACAGACACATACAGAGACACACACAGACACACACACACAGAGACACAGACACACACACACACACACACACAGGCAGGCCAGGGTGAGTGTGCTTGCCTAGCACTTTAGAGGCCCTGGAATTGATTACAGCACTGCAAAAAACCAAACCAAACCAAACCAAACAAACAAAAAAGCCAACAAAAAACCCCCAAACAACCGAACAACTGGAATCCCGGCTTTATTGAGGATAACTTACTTAAATTTTAAGATAATTCTTGCTGATTTAACAAGATAAATGATCTTAAACTGAGGCTGGGTGTTGGTGGCGCACATCTTTAATCCCAGCACTCCGAAGGCAGAGGCAGGTGGATCTCTGTGAGTTTGAGACCAGCCTGGTCTACAAGAGCTAGTTCCAAGACAACTTTTAAAACCACAAAGAAACTCTGTCTCGAAAAACAAAATAACAAAAAAGCAAAAACAGAAAGTGATCTTAAACTGTAAAATAAAAATGACGTCTGTAACTCTGGGACATTATCCTTATATGGGCCTTAAACAAGCTTTTAAAGGCTTGCTTTTCTTCTTAAGAAGTTGAGTGTTTGATGTCAGGAGGAAAAAACTATATTGCAACAAGGAAAGTGTCCAGAGGCATCCTGTGGCCAAAGAAACAGTCTAAATCAGGAATATGTGAATAGGAAGACAAGGAAGACAAAAACAGGACTAAAAAACAGGAACAAAAGTGTTTTGCTTTTTTTTTTTTAAGACAGGGTTTCTCTGTGGCTTTGGAGGCTGTCCTGGAACTAGCTCTTGTAGACCAGGCTGGTCTCGAACTCACAGCAATCTACCTGCCTCTGCTTCCCGAGTGCTGGGATTAAAGGCGAGTCATCACTGCCCAGCCAGGAACAAAACCTTTTCACGAGGGTTGTTCTCTTTAAAGAGAAACACCAAATTATGGTATTACTGCCTTAAACTTAGATTTTTTTTTTTAAATTTGGTGATAGAAATTGATTGGGGCCTAAAACATGCTGGAACAGTGTTCTACCACTGAGCAAACCCTTCTAACTACAACTGTTACATTTGGTTCCAAAACCAATTTTGCAGGCACGTAAGTAGATCTGGCATTTAATGTTTAACTCATGCAATAAATATAGAAGGATCAGTGCATAAATTAACAAACTAACAAAAGGCTAGAGTATCATTTCTGCTGTTGAGTCAGCAAGAATTAACTATTAAATTATTGTTGTTGTTGTTTTTTCAGACAGGTTTCTCTGTGTAGCCCTGGCTGTCCTCAAACTCATAGAGATCCACCTGCCTCTGCCTGTCAAGTGCTGGGATTAAAGGCATGAAGCACCACACTCAGATTAACTGTTAAAAATTAACACCTTAAATGGATACAAACTTTTTTATATCTAAATTATCCTCAATAACATTTCTCTCCCCTTTTCTTGTGAAGCAAAGTTCTGGCCCAAACACATAAAAAGAAAAAGAAATAATAACTAAATCAGAAGCAAGTAAACCAGACTACTGTAGTTTTGAAAAGAGGTGTCAGGGTCTCATGCTCACAGGCAATTAATACCAGGATAGTGTCTGCTCACTAGGGATTTAGATATGGAGCTGGGCAAAGCCGAGGGCTAAAAAGCCGGCTGACCGAGTCAGATGCACAGAGGGCAGATTTTAGGGCAACAGATGTGAGAGCTGAGCAAAGAGCCAGGCAGCCAAGGGGTCCCCACCTTCTGTCTGAAGTCCCCATTCCCAGGAAGCAGAGCTGGTAGGGCCTGAGGTGCAGACCCCTCCTGAGTGCCATGCTAGGCTCTTTGGGCCCACAGCAGCAGTTCCTGCAAGCCTCAGTCCCAGGTTTCTCCTACTGTTCTAACTTGCCTGGGCTTCTGGCTCCCATGAGCCTGAGTCTGCAGTTGTTTCCTGACTTGAGATCTCCCAGCATCAACATGACATGGCCCAAATCACAGACTCAGTCACAAGGCCTACTGTGGACACAGGGAGGGCACAGGCCACTAAATGCCCTGTAGGGCCTTAGCTGCCCATCAATGCTAGTCACTGGTAGTCTCAAAGTGTAAGGACAGGTTTGAGCTCCTGGGGACTATAGGTGCATGGGCTTCGTGTCCACTGAGTAAGTATGTCTTAGTAACTATACTCCCCCCGCCCCAAGTGGTCTGGTGCTCACACCCAGGGCCTCACATGTGCTCTACCACTGAATTCTGCCTTAATAACTTCATGTTAACAGACTTCCGGGTTAGTTTAGGGCAGGGGCTCAAGCCCACAGTCTTGTGAAGTTAACAGCCTTGCCCTGAGAGGGGAGAAGGCAGACACTGTGTCTGAGCCCCCTAATGACTCATGGTCAGACAGATACCTCCAGGTGGCCGGGCAAACTGGAAGACGTGGATTCGGGTGCCGGTGCTCCCAGCGTCAAACATGATCCCATAGAAGACCTCGTGACTATGCGTAGCTGAGTCTGAGGAGCTGAAGGCCTGCTGGGTCCACCGTGCCCCTGAGGCAGCTCCAGCAATGGTGAAGAAGGCCTGGGCAGCAGAGGCCCGGTGCCACTTGATATAGGCAACATAGATGAACAGGCCCACACACAGCCCGAGGGGGTATGCCACCTTTGTCATCCGCAGGGTTCCATGGTTTGGTATTTTCCTCATTTCTCAGTCTGCTGGGGACTATGTGGCTGCTGCTGGCTGTAGGGAAGAGAATTAGGTAAATCATATTGGGTGTAGCCTATGGCCTATGTCAGAAGTTTCCAGGTCTGGGTACAAAGTATGCAATTCAAAACTGGTCTGCAACCCTTCCTCCAGGACTCACAGGAGTCATTTGATTTTCTTGATGATTCTGGAAGGGATAGTCCAGAACTGAGGGTTCTGGACACCAGATAACTTCCCAACAAACCACAGTGGGACACGCTGCTGCTTATATCAAAGAGCCCAGTGTCTACAGATCACTCCAGGCAACAGATCCACATGCCCCGCCCTGTCTTGCCATCTTTACTCACAGTCCCATTCATAGATTGTACTGTCAGTGATTTACTTTCCCAGGGGCATAAAAACTGGCCACTCGAACAACTCCAGTGAACCTGAGACAGGTGTGAGACAGTGAACTTATTTTTCTGAATGTTTAATGGATGCTGCTTTTCATTTATAAAAAAAAAACATTCCTGTTGAGGGATAAATGATGTCTGGTACTTTCAAGGCCTATAACATTCTATAAAAATAAATGGAATTGATGCCATCAGTTTTGGTCCAATATACTCCAAACAAAACCATTCACCCATTTTTAAAATTTAATTTTTAATTTTTTTGAAAGGGTTTTTGAGACAGGTTCCTGATATATAGTCCATGCTGGCCTCAAATCTCAATCCTCCTGCCTCAGACTCTCCAGTGATGGGAGTCTGGGTGTGTACTATCGTCTCTGGATGTTCAGTTTTGTTTTTTAGTAGCTCCTAGTCTTTAAAGGATGAGAAGAGAGGGGCCCGCATCTCAAGGGATGTCTGTTGGTCTTGCCACTCCTCACTCCTGCCCGCTGTGGAAATCCATCACCTAGAAACTGGGCACAACGATGGGCAGAAGGACCCTGTGGCTGCCCTGCCTGGGGAGAGTAACAGCAGTCCTAGGCAGGGCCTGTGTGCACAGCCTAAGCGGTCTAAGTGAATCAGGGCAGGGTTCCCTTGGTTCCACCCCTGGTCACACCCAAATACTCTCAGGCAAACAGCTCAGGTCACACAACACTGCCTCTGTGCCCCAGGCCCAGAGAGGAGGCCCAAACTGGGGCAAGAAAACAAGACACATCACCTTCCCCAGTTCCTGCACCGTATGGGGCTCAGAAAGGTTCTCTGGGCAGGTGCTAAGGATCACAACGCCCGCGCCAGTCCCCAGATCCTGCCTTACTTTGGGTCTCACTTGATCCCACTGCACTTGAGAGCTACTCTCAAGATCACATCTCACCACCTGCTGAGGCCTGGCCCTTGCAACCTATTCCATATCTTTTACTCTTTGCCCATGCACCCCAAGAACACACTGCCTCCGTTTGCCTTGAAAAGTCAGTTCCCCGTCTCAGGCCCTTTATGCATACTATTACCCATTCCCAGAATGCTCAGCCATCAACTGGGCCAATTTTGTTCACTGTCCAAATTCTACTGCCTTCCCTGGCTTGAATGTCTTCACCATGTGCCAAGTGCCCTACACCCAACCTGTAAATACAAGAATCTACTTTAGACAGCCGGACAATACTTATCACAGACCTACAATCATGGCATTTACACAGGATATTAACAATCCAAACTGAACACCATACCCAAGGGGCACAGACAGACCAGTCTGTCCACAGGCACCTCCGTGCCTCAGAGGCCCAACTCCGAACACATCAACTTCATTCTGTTGTTGAAGTGTTTGTTCATAGCTAAGGCACTTGCAGGAAGGATCAATCACTTTTCTACAGCCGTGTCTAACACCCAGTGGTGGCATACTGATCAGACTCTCCAAAGGCTTGCTGAGGAAAACAACTCAACCTTAGTTACAGAACAGAGATTTTAAAACAAAACAAAACAAAAAGCAAACGAACAAAAAGCAAGCAGCAGGAAGAAGTAAAGCCAGGTGGGGAATGAGCAGGAGAACAGGAAGTGGCATGCAGAGGCAAACAGGGGAGGCTTGGAGAGGTTCACTTCCTGTCAGGTAGAAACTGGAGTCAGAGAAGGTAGTAGGTGTGGAGTTAGGAGGGGGGAAGGGGACACAGGATCTCAGAACTATGCTCCAGCTGATTTGAAGTGGCAGCAGCCAGATTTTTCCTGGTTTGCATTAAAGTAGAGGAACCAAGCCTGCAAATGACTGCTGCACACACTGAATATGTGTCCCAAAATAAAGGCCACTAACAAAGCACCACTTATTCTTCTGGTAGTTGTAGAAAATCTTTTCTTGGAGAAAAGAATAAACCCTCTACACGAATGGCCCTGTGAAGAGGACTCCTGATGTTTTTGCAGGCTGCCATGCCTCTCACGTTTTGTCTATGAGCCTCCAGGAGGGGCTCAGATACACACCATATTAGCCTACACTCCTCCCTGGGGCAGAAGGATAGGGACAAAAACTCCCTCAATTTTTAGACTTACCATTATGCTTGCTGCATTTTTCAAGGGCTACATTGTTAATTGGCTGGTAACAGGAATAGGGAAACCTCCCCTCAATGCTATTCAGGCCCCTCCAAGGCTCTGCAGTGCCCCACAAGAGTCCCTGTAATCACATTCATCTATCTCTCCCCGGGATATCTCCTTCGAGGGTGTCTGAGATGTTCCTACTGTGGCTATGAAGACTTTGCTATACGCCCTGTGATGTAGGATGCATGGCTCACCACACATGACCGTGGGGTACAAGGGCCTGCAGAGATATAAAAGGCCCAGGTATTTTCAGGCAACTGATTCCTTTGGACAGATTCAGTGTGTGAAGGGCTGTGTCTGCTGTAACCTACTCAGCAGTGTAGCTCAAAAACACCCAATTACTTCCTGCTGCTCTTAAAATAAAAACCTGTTCCCTCGGATTCTCCATCCTTCTACGTTCTGGGCGTCCACATCAGGACTTCTCCCTCCTTTAGCCTGAAGCACCTGTGGCCACACATCAACTTAGGCAGAACCACCGCGACCCCTGACAGGCTTTTCCAGGTCACCATCAGTCCCACCTCTGTACTGTCAGAACACAGTACTTCCCCAGTTTCCTGAGCCTCCTAGTTGGACTGTGCAGTGTAGGAGGGGTGGGGCCTAGGCCTAGCTCCGCTAGGGGCGGGTCAGCACATACCGGCCAAATGAATGGATGGATGGCGCAGGGCAGTGGGTTGCACTCGGGCAGAGACCCCTGCTGCTTGGCCTACAGTGTAGCTCGCAACACTGCGCGAGTACCACCGTGTAATACACACGTGCGGGGACCGCGCAGCGGAACGGTAAGGCACCAAGGGGAAAGGGCGGGGAGCGCAAGTGACCCTGAGGTCTCCCCCAGGAGCTGCCGCCTGGCGCAGGGAGGTGCCAAGGCACTTGAACCCGCAACACGGGGAACCCTGTCACTCGTGCATTGGGAGACACCCACCCCCGCACTCAGTCATCCCGGCCAAGCACACCCCGCAGGCCCCCCTTACCCTGCACGGCGCCCTCAGCCCCTCGGTGGAGGCGGTGGTGTACCCGGAGACCGGGAGCGACTACCCACCAAGGGCTCGGCTCTCCAGTCCCGCTCCGCGTCAACACAGCCTTTACGCGTGGAACCCGACCTAGCAGATCCCGAGAAGCTGTCCCCGCCCACGTGCACTTTGCGTCACTAGGTGGGCTGGACGGCATCAATGCGCGTGCGCTGTGGTGCTTGCAGTACGCAGGCGCAATAGCCAGGTGCTCTTCCGAGCCGTTTTTCTTCTGCTGGTAGAGGACTCCGGAACCTGATTGCTTCTTGGATCCTTCTGCTAAATCCTCGAGGCATGGTGAAGCGGAACCTTGTCTTGACTGGTGTACGAGTTACTTCAGTCTCATCCATCACCTTGTCCTTCCCACGTTCGAGTTGCTTCCTTCAAAGGAATACGTGATACGATATGCATTCATGATAGAGAATACAGTGGCATCAAATCTCCTTTATCTTGGCCGTAGTTTTTTATGTTTTCCTACAAGCCACAGGTTGCCAGCTCCTAACTGCAGTGAGACTCCGAATACATGCCCTTAGTTCATCTGTCTGAAAGTCCCCCAAGTTGGTTGTCCTTTTTCCATCAGACCAGGGCTCCTCGTCCGCCTGCCCGCATGATGGCATCTTTATATTGGGGTACAGGGACGTTGATTGTGGTCCTAATGGACTTCCCTGTGTCGGCTGGGAAAGCCTAGAAATAAGGATTTCCTTCCTTCCTTCCTTCCTTCCTTCCTTCCTTCCTTCCTTCCTTCCTTCCTTCCTTCCTTCCTTCCTTTTCAGACAGGGTTTCTCTGTAGCTTTGAAACCTGTCCTGGAACTCGCTCTGTAGACCGGGTTGGCCTTGAACTCAAAGAGATATGCTTGCCTTTGCCTCCGGAGTGCGTGTGCAAAGATTTCTAATGGTCAAGTCAAGGCACTTGGGACTGAGAGTGCAGGGACACTGTGTGAAAGCAGGAAGCAGGGTTGGCAATCGCCAGTAGTCCCATGAAACCATTGCAAATGGCCATGCGAGCAGCTGTTTGGACCTTGCCTTGTTTTGCTAATCAGATCCCTGAGATTTGATTACAATAGTAGTCTAGGGCCTCTTATTTGGTGGCTATTAAAAGTTGTGCCCCCCCCCCGTGATTTGTTGTAAACAACACTACAGTATCCCAACATCTGTCTTGCTACTCACCATGGATACGCTGTGGGAGAGAGTCTTAGAAGTGGAATTGGCTATGATAAACGATAACTCCACAGATACGGCTGAATTTTCTCTTTAGTCATTGTACTAATTTACACTCTTCAAATGTATGAGGCATGGGTTCTCCACAGCTTAATTAGTGGAATCTTTTCAAACTTTTGATTCTTTGCTAATCCAATAGAACAACTGCTATTTTTGGCTTAATTTTCTAGTATTTTGAAGTTTGTTCGTGGACCTTTAATGATCCTGCTTCTGTCTGCCTCCTTCACATCTTTTACCACCGCCTCCGTTTTTACCATATTTTTCTCACACTCTAGAATTTGTCTGTTTGTATATGCTCTTACTCACGCCAGGAAAGCTATGCTATCAGCTGTTTCCTTTTATAGATTTTTTTCATTTTTAAGGCACCATAATGCCATCTTCTCAGACCATTTCACTTACAGTGACCTCTCCTGGCTATTTTCTACCATGCTTTGTGTGTTTCCTTCATAGTATTAAGTCATGACCATCGTTGGTTGTTGCTTGTTTATTGGTTCATTTCCGTCTCACTACAGAAATGTAGGTTTCATGAGAGTAAGAGTCATCTGCCCTAAGTGGTATTGTTTGCTCATCATCATTTTAATACACGGAGTCTACAAACCCAGCCTGGCTGTGATGTCATCATTCTAGTGGAGTAGAGAGTGCCCATGATGGCTGCATCTCTTTGCTGTCCTCTGTAGAGCTTGTGACAGCCCGGAAATGGAAGGAGATAAGGTTAACTTCCCAGAAGCAACTGCAACCAAGTTCTCTGTTGTCTTGAAACAAGTCAATCCCCTAGGAATGCAACATCTGGAGACAAGAGGCAGCTTGGGATAGGCTCTGACTGAAACAGTATCTTCTTCAGTGCTTTAGCCTAGAACATTATGGGTTTTCTTAATAAAACAATAAAACCTAGAGTGGTCTGCTCTTCGAAGTCTGAGGTAGTACTGTTGAGACATCTTCTATCCTAGGCAGCCTTCCTGGACCTCAGTGGAGGAGGGAGATGGCTAGCAATGTGTCTAGGAGGCTGTTGTCCCTGCCTGCCCATCTGCAGGGTATAAATACAGTTTATGTAGATCGTTGAGTGTAAACGTGTTGTGTGTTACTAGGCCAAGACAAGGTGGTAACCAGTGCATAATAAGCACGCTTCATAGAAGCTCTTAACTAATTCTTAAGGTTATTAACAATTATTAATTGCTAATCTCTGAACACCTCAGTCTACCCTTCACAGAGGTGCAGTTTGGAGTCCACAGCAGGCACGAGCCTTGGTTGCCCATAGTTATGGCTTCTTCTTCTTCCCAGGCTTCCTTCCCTTCTTTCTTACACACATTCCTGGGGGAGCACCAGTCAACCTCTTATAAGATCATAGACAGCATTCAGGAAAACCCTAGTTAAGACATTGTTAGCAATGTCTGTCGAAGGAATAAGTGGATCCATCAGGGTGCTTTGAAGTTTTCTCTTCTGAGCAGGAAGATTCTGAGTAGCATCCACTCCAGGTTTAGAGCAGATGATGGAGCAGATAGCAGAAATGTGGGCAGGGCGGGAGGGTAGAAGTGTGCCCTGGCAGCAGATATGACTGGCCCTGCTTTGTGGGCTGAGAAAGTGTTGGAGGAAGTAAATGGGTATGCAACCTATCTTAGCTTACTCAGTGACTAAGAGTGGGGAGAGCCACTGTTTTGCATGCTGTCTGCTGGGTTTGCATGCATAGTCACACCAGTCATAAGTCTGTGAAGTGGAGCAGGAGCAGGGCCTGCCGGCGCTTGCCTGCCATCCGAGCTACTCAGGAGGCTGAAGCAGGTGGATGGGAAGTTCAGGGCCAGCCTGGACAATTTCGTGAGAGCCTATCTCTAAATATGAATGTCAAGACGGAGCTGAATGTGTAGCTCAGTTATGGACACTTGCCTAGCATGAGGGATGTTGTGAGTACAATCCCTAGTACTGCAAAAGAACAAGACAGACAAACAAAAGAAACAGGGTAAAATGGTTCTGCAAGATCCTTGCCGTCAGAGGCTCTCAGTGCTCTCCCCATGATTCATCCTGCTACAAGTGCCCATGATTCTGGAATGCTTGAGTTTTCTATTGATCAGAGAAATGCCCAGTGACTGGAAGTTCTGGGCAAATGATCCTGGGAGCAGCCTTCAGCTTGATGGGAGTGTAGACCTTGGCTTCCTCCCAGGCAGGACAACTAGTCTCTGGCCTGTAAACGATGGAATGTGTGGTAACAGAGTATGACTTTCCTTTCTTTCACGTCTTCCGTTCACATTCCTCTATTGGTGTTTTCTGAGGTCACTGAGTGGGTGAGTGGGATTGATAGATGTCACTCACCAATTATAGGCCATTTGATAGTAATACCAAACAAAGTATCTAGTTGCCTTTCTGATTTCTTTTTTGTTAGAAATAAAATTTGATGATTCATTTCCAAAGATGCCTTAAGATAGCTTAGGTGCAGCTACCAGAAGGTGCTAGACTCTTGCTAATGCCCTCCATCCAAACTCTGTTAAGAAACCTCTGCCTGCTCCCACCACACAAACTAGCAGTTTAGAGTTGAAAATTACTAATAACCAAGCTTGCCTTTGAGGTCATGCATCTGATGAACTTTAAAATAAACAGAAGGTAAAACACAGAGATAAACCCATGTGCCTTTGTTGAGAAAAGACAAATGTATGCTATTAGAGAGTAAGATAAGAACTAGATGGCACCTGAGATTGCACACCTGGTTGTTCAAAAAAGGGAGTATGGGTCATGTGTTAGGGTCTATAAAGACTGTTCTTTGCCCCCAATAAGCGCGCCTGTAATTCTAGGCTGACACAGGTGTTTGCAAGATCATAAAATAACCTACTTTGATTTCACTATACTGTGTTTCAATGCTCTTATTATGAAGTGGTTATTGTTCCTCACATTTATTCTTTTTTTGTTTTGTTTTGTTTTTGTTTTTTCCAGACAGGGTTTCTCTGTGGCTTTGGAGGCTGTCCTGGAACTAGCTCTTGTAGACCAAGCTGGTCTCGAACTCACAGAGATCTACCTGCCTCTGCCTCCCCAGTGCTGAGATTAAAGGGGTGTGCCACCACTTCCGGGCTCCTCACATTTATTCTTTATCATTATATATTCTTATTATGAATAGATTGTTGTTTCTTACATTAAAAATTAGTACATCTTTTTATTTGTATGGACATGCACACACACGTGCCATGGCACATGCAGAAGTCAGAAGATAACTCTGTGAAGTCAGTTCTTAGCTTCCACCATGTGCATTTAGGGCATTTGACTTGGCGGCATGTGCCTCTGGCCACTGAGCCCTCTCCCTAGCCCACCTCTAAAGGTGGAGGTTTCTGTCCTTCCTGGTCCCACAGCTGCTTTGCCCCAAATAAATACACAGACACTATATTAATTATAAAACTGTTGGCCAATGGCTAGGGCTTTTTATTGGCTATCTCTGTCTTAATTATTAACCCATTTCTGTTAATCTAAGTATTTCCCCATGGTTTTATCTTATTGGAGAAGGATCAGAACCTGTTACTCCTACCTCTGCTACATGGCATCTCCTCCCAGCCTCCCTCTGCTTCTCTCCCCAACATTCTCCTTGTCTCCTAGCTCCACCTATCTTCCTGCCTCTATTGGCCAATCAGTGTTTTATTCATCAACCAGTAAGAGAAACATACATACAGAAGGACATCCCCAATCATCTCCTCTCTTCTGTCTAATAAAAAGAAGGGTTTTAACTTTAACACACCTCTGTGATTTCTTCCTCAAATTATTGCCTTTCCAACCATATATATTCTCCCTAACTCCTCCCCAAACTCAGGTCTTCTTTGTTCATGGTGAGCCTTGCATTTTACAAAACCTAGTACTGTATGTGGAAGAAACAGGGCTTTACTCTTGGGGCGCTGGTTGTTTAATCTTCTCACGCTCCTCTCTCATCATTCTGAGGTTTCCGT